TCCATAACCAGGCCTGAACCCTGAGTGATAGGGGTCCAGATAATCTGTTTCCTCCAGGATCCTCTGAAGCTGCCGCGCGATCACCTTTTCCACCACCTTCCCTAAAAAGGGGAGGTGGAAGACTGGACGAGACTTGTCCATTTTTGTGCATATAATAATCTCGCAGCAGTTACCATATATAAAAACAATCTTAAATAACTCTTTCCTAATTGTCCATTAGTCCCAACAAGAAAATATTTGGTTTCAACTTAATCTTTAAGATTCTTTGTATCACTATGTGTATTTTAACCCAACATTTTCTGGCTTATTTGCAAGTCCACCAAACATGATAAAATGACCCTTTGTGTTTTCCACGTTTCTTTTTATATATATATGTGTGTGTGTGTGTGTGTGTGTGTGTGTGTTTTATATATATAAAAACATATATATAATTTTTATTAAAGATTTCTTAAAAAGGAAGATTAAAAAGTAATACAAACTAATATAAAATAAGAAAAAGACAAGAAAAAGAAAGATATCAAAGGGAAAGCTAAAAGTGCAAGAAAGGGAAAAAAAAGAAAAGTAAAAAAAAAAACAAAGTAAAAAGATACAAAGAAGTAGTTTCCAATCTTCTTTGCAGCAATTATAAGTACAATTATAAATTTACCTCTTACTCTATAGTTACAACATAACTTTCTTATTTCTATAATGTATCCTATCTCATCATCAAAACCTTAAGTCAGATTTTCATTTTTTTTCTGTTTCTCGCAAAAAGTCTGAAAGGGGTTTCCAGTCAGCAATAAACACAGATATTATCTTTTCTTTGATCAAAGAAGTCAATTTAGCCATCTCAGCACGTTCCATCACCTTCACCAACCATTCCTCCATTGTGGGTAATGCCGAATCTTTCCATCTTTGTACATATAATCTTGCTGCAGTTATCATGTAAAAAAACAAAGTTCTGTAACCTTTTGCCAACTGTTTGTCCATCAGTCCCAGAAGAAAAACCTCTGGTTTCAATTGTATATTAATCTTTAAAATCCTCTGAATCGGTGTATGTATTTGAATCCAGAATTTTCTAGCTTTTTTACACGTCCACCAAACATGATAGAATGTCCCTTCTTGTTGTTCACATTTCCAACATAAATGTGAAGTGTCTTTATGCGTTCTAGACAATTTCTGTGATATGTACCAATGGTACATCATTTTATAACCACTGACAACTATATCTCTCTGCTTCTCTTGATTTTATTTTACATTCCCTTTGACAAAATTCTAGTATCTCATGATAAGTTAGCCATTTGCGTCTGCCTATTACTTCTCATCTATAAAATGCTTCTTGTACTGAGATCCACAAAGGTGTTTTTGGGCACAACCTTGGCTTGTATCTATTCCATATTTTCAATATGGCACATCTAACATAATGATTTTTTAAATCCACTTTAACCTTGACTTTATCGTACCACAAATAACCATGCCACCCAAATCTCAGGTCATGTTCTTCTAACTCCAAAAGTTAGAACTTCTATTTCTCAGCAACATCCATTCTTTCATTCAAACTAAACATCAAGCTGCAAAATACAATTTCAAATCAGGTAAACCCAATCCTCCTCTTTTCTTTGCATCTTGTAACACCTTATATTTAGCTCATGTTTTTTTCCCCTGCCGCACAAATTTAGATATATCCTTCTGCCACTATTTAAAAGGGGCATCAGTTATCAAAACAGGTATTGTCTGAAACAAAAACATCATTCTAGGCAAAACATTAATTTTTATCTCAGAAATTCTCCCCAGCAATGACAGTTGTAATTTCTCCCATCTTAACATCTCTTTTTTAACTTCATTCCGTATCTTAACATAGTTATTTTGAAATAACATACAGTTCATATTTGTCATAGCGATACCCAGATATTTTACCTTCTTCTCAATCTTAAAACCCTTTTTATTCATCAATTCTGTTTGATCTTCTATTTTCACATTTTTGTTAACATCTTCATCTTCTGTTTATTAATCTTGAAACCTGCTAATGCACCACATTCTTTTAACTTGCCAATTAATATTTCAATTCCCTTTGAAGGATCTTCCAGAACCAACACCAACTTAGTCCCCCCTCAAAAACGCAAAAGCCCTTAACTTATAGGTTTCTTTTTCTTTACCCCCACAATCCTCTCATCTTGTCTTATATCTCTTCAGTATTTCAAGAACCAGAATAAACAAGAGAGGAGACAGTGGGCACCCCTGGTTCCTTTTTGCATCTCACAGGGTTTTGTTAGATCTCCAGTAACAATTATTTGTGCTTTCTGTGAAGAGTAATCGATCATACCCATTTTATAAAGTTCTCTCCAAAATTCATATCTTCCAAAACCTTGAACAAGAAAGCC